TATCTTCAGTTAATAAAAATAAAAATATTCTTCACGACACTATCCGTCAATCAAAGTACCCCACCTTGCCTCCCCCCTCTTCCAACCGCACAGTCAGTCCCAACCCTTCCCCCCACCCCCCACCAATCCTCCCTTCAAGAGATGTTGGGTGAAAAAACTAAATTTTAACATTTTGTATTAAATAATACCTCAGATTAAAGTTAGGATAATATAATTGACATTGCTGGATTCCTTGTAAGACCAGGAATATTTTGAATATAAATGTCATATATTTTGCACAAAAGAGAACATATTTACTCAGAGTAAACATTTTATCTAAAATTTGTATGTCTAATGCAAAATCTATGATATTTATATTCAAAATGATCATCAAATTATAAGAATTCCAGCAATGTAAATTATATTCTGACCGGGTAATTTGTATGAATTTTATGAGCTAAAACAAATATCTTCAGTTAATAAAAAAAATATATATTCTTCACGGGGTAACAGATGGTCGGTCGGTCCCCCCCCCACCAACCGTCCCAAGGAGATGTGTGGGAAAACCACTAAATTTTAATAAATAATACCTCAAACTAAAGTTAGGATAATATAATTGACATTGCTGGATTCCTTGTAAGACCAGGAATATTTTGAATATAAATGTCATATATTTTGCACAAAAGATAACATATTTACTAGAGAAAACATTTTATCTAAAATTTGTATGTCTAATGCAAAATCTATGATGTTTATATTCAAAATGATCACCAAATTATAAAATTCCGTATAAAATTATATTCTGGCGGAGTAATTTGTATGAATTTTATGAGCTAAAACAGGCAGTCAGGCAGGGTGGCGGGTGGGGCAAATCTAAAAATAGCGTCTCGAGCCGGACACTCACCGCGTATATGTGGAAAAAATCCGTGTTAAGTGAAAGTTCAGCTCTGGCGAGGCACCGCGTATATGAAAAAACGCGTTAAGTGAAGCCGCGTTAGGCGGGGTAATACTGTACTTATATGATTATTATTATTAGCATTATCATTATTAATATTATTACATTATCGCCCCCAGGCTTCGATGTGGGTCAGTGACCTGTGCCCGGGTGGGCTAATCCCCGTAAAAAAAAAAAATAAATAAATAAATAAAAATTTTGGGGTTCGGGATTGACAGTTAATCCGAAAGTCGGTTAATCGAGGTTTTACTGTATATATATATATATATATATATATATATATATATATATATATATATATATATATATATATATATATATATATATATATATATATATATATATATATATATATATATATATATATATATATATATATATATATATATATATATATATATATAATAACAAGAAATCACTGATAATCGAAGCTTACAGGTGTCACATCTGCAGGGGTGAGTACAGACTAAGGAGAAATACATAACAAGGCATATATATACAGTAGATGAGGGTGAGGTCAAGTCTACAATGGTCAGGTTATTAGGTAGTGACCCTACTAATCTTCAAAAAACACCGCAGCAGTCGGTAGTCAGGTCAGAGGGTAAGATGATCCAACCTTCTCACCTGGATACACATCTTCTTAATTACGAAATTATCCAGTTTGTACATACTCACCCTCCTCAACTGTATATATATATGCCTTGTTATGTATTTCTCCTTAGTCTGTACTCACCTCTGAAGATGTGAATTACGAAACTTGGGAACGTGTTTTCTTTTTATCTTGTGGTTATCAGCTTGTATATATATATATATATATATTTTCATGTAGATCAATGAAACATGATAAGATAAATCTTGATAAAACGGAAAAAATAGCAGACACCTTCTGTTTCCTTCCGTGTTTATTATATATATATATATATATATATATATATATATATATATATATATATATATATATATATATATATATATATATATATATATATATATATATATATATATATATATATATATATATATATATATGCTGAATAACCATAGGGAAGGAAAACACACAGTTCCCAAGCGCTTTCGTGTAATTCACATCTTCAGAGGTGAGTACAGACTAAGGAGAAATACATAACAAGGCATATATATACAGTTGAGGGAGGTGAGTATTACAAACTGGATAATTTCGTAATTAAGAAGATGTGTATCCAGGTGAAAGGTTGGATCATCTTACCCTCTGACGACTAGTCTGTACTCACCCTGAAGATGTGAATTACACGAAAGCGGAGAACTCTGTTCTTCTTTCTTGTGGTTATCACTCTAGATCCACCAGCACCTACAGTGATTTACTTGCATATATATATATATATATATATATATATATATATATATATATATATATATATATATATACAGATATACCCCGACTTACTACGGGTTAGGGACCAAATCCAGGTCGTAAGTCCGACATAGATAATTTTTTTTTTTTTTTTTTTTTTTTTTTTAATAAAAAATCTACAATGAAATACAGTACAGTAAAAGTAATGAATAATGAGGAATGGATACAGTACAGTGAAAGTAATAAATAATAAGGAATGGTTAGTGTGACTGAGCACTTACCTTTAATGTAGTCAGCTGAATGCACATAGGGCCCCCATAATTTTCTAATTATACATGGAGACTACATTAACTGGAAACGTTTCGGTATAGAAAATGCGTGTGTCATTTGAAAAAAAAAAAAATTAATAAAAATCTGAAGGCGGTCGTAGAGTCACGTGGTAAATCGAAGTCTGTCTGTATATATATATATACTTATATATATATATATATATATATATATATATATATATATATATATATATATATATATATATATATATATATATATAATAAATACATATACATATACACAGCTAGACCCCGACCACGACCCGTCGGGACTACAACCGCCATGATTGCTCTCCCAATGACACACGCATTTTCTACAAAACGTTTCCAGTTAATGTAATTCTCCATGTATATTAGAAAATTATGGGCCCCATGTGCATTCAGCTGACTACATTAAAGGTAAGTGCTGTCACACTGTATCCATTCCTCATTATTTATTACTTTCACTGTACCATTTCATTGTGGATTTTTATTATTATTTTTTTTTTTTTTTTTTTTTTTATCTATGTCGGACTTTACCATTGACCTCACGACCTGATTTGCCCTAACTCGCTGTATATATATATATATATATATATATATATATATATATATATATATATATATATATATATATATATATATATATATATATTTATTTATTTATTTATTTATTTATTTCATGTAGATCCACAATGAAAATGTGGATAAGATAAATCTTGATATAATCACACAGGAAAAAGGGAGACAATGGAGCACCTTAGCTTTCATTTTTATTCAAGACATCTTCAGAGGCAACTGAATTACATGGACCGAGAGAGGCTTAAGTACACAGGGTAACCTCACTAAACTTGGGTACCCTTCATAGTCACACGGGAACCTGATAACCCGTGCTGGGCATTTAAACAGTGGCGGGAATAGGCGCACGTTCTGGAACGTCACCCGGGGCTAAGGGTTAAGATTAACCACCCTAATGCTATCCAAACATACCATAACCTAATCTTACCTAACCTAACCTATCCTAATAGTCCCATCTGGGCAAATATGCTAGTGGACTAATCTTCATGTGATTCAAATGATTATTTGCTAGGTGGAAGTTGATAGTGAATGTGAGTCAAAAGTGATGAAAGTAAGTTGAGAACTGGACAGGGGGAATATATATTAGCCAGAATGTGGGAAGTGGAGTATTTTCGATGTCAGCATGTGTAGAGTCAACAGATGTTAGCATGTGGGCGAGTCAACTCAACAGACGCCAACATGTGGTTGAGTCAACAAATGTCAGTATGTGTTGAGTCAACAGATGTTAGCATGTGGTTATGTCAACATCTGGTTGTGAACAGATGTTCACATGTGGTTGTGTCAACAGATTTCAGCAGGTGGTTGTGTCAGCAGATATCAGCATATGGTTATGTCAACTGATGTCATGATGTCAGCATGTGGTTGTGTTAACAGATGTCAGCATGTGGTTGTGTTAGCAGATGTCAGCATATGGTTGTGTCAATGGGTGTCAGCAGATGTCTGCATGTGGTTTTGTCAGCAGATGTCAGCATCTGGCTGTGTCAGCAGACATCAGCATCTGGTTGTGTCAGCAGACGTCAGCATGTGGTTGTGTCAGCAGACGTCTGCATCTGGTTGTGTTAACAGATGTCTGCATATGGTTTTGTTAACATGTTAGCATGTGGTTGTGTTAACAGATGACAGTATGTGGAAGTGTCAGCAGATGTCAGCATGTGGTTGTGTTAACAGATGTTAGCATGTGGTTGTGTCAGCAGATGTCTGCATGTGGTTGTGTTAACAGATGTCAGCATGTGGTTGTGTTAACAGATGTCTGCATGTGGTTGTGTCAGCAGATGTCAGTATGTGGTTTTGTCAGCATGTGGTTGTGTCAGCAGATGTCTGCATGTGGTTGTGTCAGCAGATTTTTATTGGGTGTGGATATAGTGAGAGATTGGTAAGTATATGATGAAAAGAATGTACAGTACAGTATAATTTTGAGGTATATGGTAGGAGGAAGGTGGTGTTAAATGAAAGGACAGTGTGTAGGATTTACTAGAAGTGAGGTGTATGGTCATACATGGAGCAGCATTGTGCATAAATGAATGGAGTGTGACATTCTGTGAGTTTTGATAATTTCTTGCTTCTGAAGGGTGGTGCTGGCTCTTGTGAAACAACAGGGAAAAATTAGATAGAGGTATGAGTCTTAGTTGTGGAATGGGAGTTCTGTACCATAGCATAACACATTAACTTTTTGAATGAGTTAATTAATACCAGTCTGCGAAGGGAGAGTCGGAGTGAGTATTTTTGCTCCTGATTCCAGCCACCTTGCATTATGCCTGAAAAACAAATTAAATTAAAAAAGTAGGGTTTGATTTGGTTCATAAGTGATGCACATTTACTTTGTCTTTCAATGTTGTGTTTACTATTGCAGGAACTTCAGGCCATTGAAAAATATGAATTGGACATGATTGCCCTTGGTAATCAGTATATAATGAAATCACATAAAGGAGAAATTGAAATTGACAAGGATGAATTTATTAAGGATAAAGAAAAAGGTAAGTGTCTCATTTCTTTTAAGTTGTTATTCCTTCAATTTGAAAGACTGAAGGGGGCATATTCAGGATATTTCCCTTCCCTTCACCAGTTCATCTTTCTGTCTGTTTCCAAATACAGTAATAGGTTTCTGTCATGTGCTGTATGTAGGTTATCATATTGCATGGGGAGAGGAAGAAGCTCCATATCAATTTGGGATCACTTGGACAAAAGTAAAAGTTATTGTTGCTATAAATAGAATTTTGGATTCCAAAAGAAAATTTAAGTTTCCACTTACTAGTTAACTTTATATAGTGTAGTTTTGTCTTTGCGGTAACTTATAATGCTTAAAGTCTAAGAATGCCATAACCAATGCACATTAGATAAATGTTATGAAATATAAGTAATTGGTCAGTGCCACTAAACATAATGACAGTACAGGTAGTTCTGCTATAACGCGATAATTGTGTTCTTGTAAAATATCGTGTTTTAGAAGATCGCGTAATAGAAATAACAGGGCTTATGGAGAAAATAGGGTTAGGTGCAGATTACTCGAAATCGAAAAAATTTAGTAGTTAGCCTAACACAAAGGATAGCACAGTCTAAATAAATGTTACATTCGTATCTAATAATGAAATCATACAGTAAATGTAACACTTTACTTGATGGGGGAGAAGGGTGATTTTGAGGTTGATAAAATCGAGCTTCTCTTCAAGTGTTATATCCTTTCTTTTACGATCATCACCAGGAATTCTATCACCAGAACGCTTCTTGTTGATATTCTTCTTTACTATATTCACAGTTAATACAGTGGGGTATGCTATAACGAACGGATCCTACTACGAATATTCCTATAACGAACGGTTTTACCTATAAAATTGAGAATGCTATAACGAACGAAACTCCTACAACGAACATTATTTAATTTTTTTTTTCTAATTTATTGTTTTTTATTACAAATATTAATGATATTCTTTATTTCAGGGGTTTAGATGCATATTTATGCACTTTTTTACAATTTTTACAATTTTATATTATATTTTTCAGTGTTAAGTGGTTGTATTTGGGGGCCTGGAACGGATTAATCCTATAACGAATGAATGCTATAACGAACAAGGTTCTAGAACCAATTAGATTCGTTATAGCATACCCCACTGTACCACAAAATTGGAGAAATAGTAAGCAAAAATCGCGTTATAGCAAACAAGCGTTCGCGTTATACAAATATCGTTCCTAATTCAATAATCGCGTTAGAGCAAATTCGCGTTACCAAAACACGCGTTATAGCAGAACTCACTGTATACTGTATAACCTCTAAACTGTGCAATACAAATCTGTGTGGCTACTTCTGCTGTGCTAAAAATTGCAATATGAGTGCAGTACTTATATTTTTAATAAGGCCAACAGGGTCATAAAGTTTCTTCCACAAGCATAATATACTGCTCTTCATAATAATGTTCCGTGACACAAGTACTTTAGCTACAGGTATACCCCATAAACCGACTTCCTGTTAACCACCTCTTCACATAACCGACAAATACATTTTAGGGAAATACCCCGCAAGTTTTGCTGACTACCCAGTTGATCCGACTATCGGAGGAGGATTAGGATTAATTATGAATTATTAGGATTACAGTGCAAATGCTCTTCTCTTCTCCCCAACTTTATGTGTTATGCAATCATGCCTAAATGTCCCAGTGTTACTTCCTCTTCTGTTTAACCCCCAAATGATGGCTAGAGTTTTAAGTACAGAACTGCACAGTATTGTCTTTAATGGGGACAATGTAATCTACTCAGATTTGATATGTGCCTAACAAGATCTGATTGTTACAAGATGACACGATGTGTGTGACTGGCCGTTGCTACAATCACAAGTTTGTTTTTATTTCATTATTATACAGTAATTTGGTATGATCAACTTATTGTGGTGTATGTTTCATCATAAATAACATACAGTACACCTAGACCCCGACTTACGACGGGGTTAGGGACCCAAATCCAGGTCGTAAGTCCGATATGGTCGTAAGTCCGATATAGATAAAAAAAAAAATAAAAAAAAATTTTCAAAAAAAAAAAAATTCAAAAAATTTTTTTTTTCAAATTTTTTTTAAAAATCTACAATGAAATACAGTACCCTAAACGTAAAAAAATAATGAGGAATGGATACAGTACAGTAAAAGTAATAAATAATGAGGAATGGATACAGTGTGACTGAGCACTTACCTTAAATGTAGTCAGCTGAATGCACACAGGGCCCCCATAATTTTCTATTTACAGGATACATGGAGACTATATTAATTGGAAGAAGCAGAAGAGGAGACAGGGCTGGGTGGGTCATCAATGTCGCTTCCTTCAGACAGGTTTATGTACTGTGGTAACTTGCTGGTTGAAGGTATTGGATCATCTTGAGGGAGTGAAGAGGCAGCACTGGTGGGGCGTGAGGAGCCAGTACTGGGGGACTTCTTGAAATAGGTGTCCAATTTAGACTGCACAGTTTTCTTTTTCTTTTCATTATAAATTTCTCTGTAGCAAGCAAGTGAATCTTGGATCATTCTGTCAACTTTGGCATAACGCTCATAATTTTGATCCATGCCATCAAACATTTGCATTCCTTTATTAATTGTAGCAAATGCCTCTGCCATATGTTTCACTGAAAACTTTTTGGGGGGTGCAGGCTCTTCTTCTACATTTTGTCTCTCTTCTTCCTCTGCAACTTTCTGTGCATCTAGTTCAATAAGATCCTCGTTACTGAGCTCTTCTGCTACACTTTCAACCAACTGTCCAACATCTTCAGTATCAATTTCTAACTCCAGCTGTTTACCTAAGTCCACTATCTTGTTACTAATATCCAAAATAACTTCACTTTCATTAAATCCTTTGAAACTGTTCACATATCTTTTCAGGATTTTCTTCCATATTCCATTCATGCAATGTTTTGTAACCTGATCCCATGCTGCACTAATGTTCTTTATACATGACAAAATGTTGTACTCCTTCCAAAACTGTCTGAGCGTTTTCTCACCTTCAGTAGCAGCAACAGCCTGAGCGAAGGTCGTGCGTAAATAATATGCTTTAAAGGCAGAAATAGCACCTTGATCCATGGGTTGGATGATAGAGGTAGTGTTAGGTGGCATGTAGACTACCTTAACATCAGGGTGCATGTCGTCCAGGTGTGGTGGGTGTCCCGGAGCATTATCCAAAATCAGTAAAATCTTGAATGGAATCCTTTGTTGCAGACAATACTCCTTGGCTCGTGGAATGAAACAAGTCATGAACCAATCCTCAAATAGTACTAGGGTCATCCAGGCTTTCTTGTTACTGCGATAAAACACTGGCAGTGTGTGCTTGCTGACATGTTTAAAAGCCCTGGGGTTCTCTGAATGATAGATCATGAAGGGCTTTAGCTTGAAACCAGCAACATTCCCCCCCAACAGAAGTGTAATTCTGTCCTTGAATGCCTTGAATCCGGGCATTTTTTTGCCTCTTTGTGGATGTATGTCCGGTCAGGCATGCGTTTCCACAATAATCCAGTCTCATCCACATTGAATATTTGCTCTGGCAAATAATTCCCTTCCACAATCACATCATCTAACTCCTCCTTAAAAGCTTCGGCAGCACCAACATCGGCACTAGCTGCCTCTCCACTCACCTTAACACTGTGTAGACTGTAGCGTTTTTTAAATCTATCAAACCACCCTTGACTTCCTGTAAAGGTTTGATCACATTCATCTCCTGCCTGCTCCTTCAGGCTTTGGAACAGGCTTCTTGCTTTAGCCTGTATGGTTAGAACACTTAAGGGTACACGCTTCTGTATCTGGTCTTCTATCCATATCACCAATAATTTTTCCATATCGTGGATAGGACCTTGTCTTTTCTTTGTTATTATAGTTCCCTTTATAGGTGTTGTTCCTTTCACTACTTCACGAATACGTTCCTTGTCCTTCAGAATAGTGGATATAGTCGAGTGTGAGAAACCTAGGTCGCGTGAGATTGTTGCTACTGTTTTTCCATTCTCATACTGTGTTATTATCTTCAGTTTCATCTCAAAAGTAATTGCCTGTCTCCTTTTCCTTGGAGTACCACCAGCACTCTCACTTTTACGCTTTCCAGTCATTATAAAGTCAATTAAATACAATAATAACGAAAGTTCACAGCGCGATCAGTATAGGATACGATAGCCAAACACAAACAAAGCGCTCCACTGAGTGAGTGCAGCCACGAGGCGACCCAAGACACCCCTCCCTCTCGCCCGGGACGGAAACGTTTCGGTATAGAAAATGCGCGCGTCATTTGAAAAATTTTTTGGTCACGGCGGTCGCAGTCGTATGTCCCGTATGGACGTACGGTCAAAGCAGGTCGTAAGTACCATTGGACGTAAGTCCGTATAGTCGTAAGTCGGGGTTTAGGTGTATTTATGAATAGAACAAAATATGATACAGTATACTGTAAAATTTTACTTCAAAATAAAAATACAAACTCAATCACATGGGAATCCTCTTCCTTAACCACTCAGCTCTATCCTCCGTAAAGGAGAGGGGGGAATACTGGCCGTGCTGCCTTTACCAATTTGTTATTTTTTATTTAGTATTATACAGTGGTCCCTCGGTTAACGAACGCCTTGGTTAATGAAATTTCGGTTAACGAATTACCTTCAATAAGAATCTTCAATTCGGTTAACGAAAAAAATAGATTAACGAAATCCTTACGAAAATCACGTTTTGTTTTGAACATCAGCTGACAAGCCGAGGAGGTACTCAGCCAATTCAGTAATCTCATCTATGTTTACATTCGTTTCCAATGAAGGAAATATCATAAAAATTGTGCTCTTTAATATTTGTGCATTCTTTTATACAGTCTCAAAATTATTGGTCATTCTAAAATTTAGCCATCCAAGCTCTGTCTACATAAAGTTTTTCAACTATTATTTTTGGCTCGATATATGTAACTTTATTCATTTGTTGAAACGCATTTACATGCACACACTGTCCTAAGGGCAAAGCTGAACTGTACATGTAATCAGAAT